ATTAGCGAAAGAACCAATGTTGGAAAACCTCCTGATCAGAGGTTACAGTCTACCATGGCCTAGTAGCTTTTTCCAAGCTTGGTAACATGAAATACTCCTTCCCCAGTGAGGCTTTCTGATTTCTGTATTCTCTACCTAGCCTTATCTTGATCATGTCTGACTCATCTCAAGGATGACTCCTGACATAGTTCCCTGCAAACCCTCTTCCCCTTCTGATCACATGGTAATTAAGTAACTTAGTAACTTGTTCTAGCTATGTTCATATGCTTACGCTGTCAGGAACCCAGCTATATGATTGGACCATGCTGTTTAATGCAAATTAGGTGATTGCCAGCCATTGTCCTGAAACCTATATATTCCACATACTCTGAAATAAAGTTGAATTGTCTTACCAAAGTCATCTCCCAGATAGCTAACTCTATCATATCTGAACTCTGTTCCCCATTGCTGCTCCCTCCACACTTGTGAATCTGTGGCTAGCAATCCTGAAGAGGAATAAACTCAGGAACCAACTTGACTCTTGCTAGAAAAAGATGAAGACAATAAGCCCAAATGTAGATAGAGGTTAAGTTTAGGGATGGAGGGAGCTCAGTGATAAGCATCAATTCTGTATCCATTGTGATATTCCACTTAACATTTTGGGATCATTAGTCATTTTAAGATTTAAGATTAGTCAGATTCTGGGATTACCTTAAAGTTTGAGGAGAGGAGTTCATTATTTTAGGGGACATGTGCTTTGTATGTGAAAGAAATGGTTTTTAAGAAATATGGTGGCAACTGTCTTTAACAAGTGACTGAATGGCAGGGACCAATATTTGAGACGTTTGAGGATTCAATCATTTTTTAATAGGAAATCTAGCTCAGATTTGGCAATACCATGTTTCCATAAAAATAAATATACAATGTCCCATTGAGGATGTGTCAGACACTGGGAAACAACAGCTAAGTCTCTGAGTCATGCATTATCTACCAAAGGAAAAGAGTATGACAAAAACTATATTATCATCACCCATGGAAAAATCATGTTTGTAATCCTTCATTCAAACTCCATAAATTGAAACATGATCTAGATCTGAGATAGGACCACAATTTGTCCACAACTGGGAAACAATTGTTTGTCATTTCATGGCTTGAGCTAAAAGTTTAGCAAAGAACAAACATAAAGGTAAAATGTCCCCTTACAGTAGAATTCACCTGTAGGTAATAAAACATTATACATGCTTTTTAATGGAGGAATTGATGAGATGCAATGCTACATTGAAAACAAAAGAAACTGCACCCACCAGTTATTGTGCATGTCTATAATCTTGATGCCCTGTGCTGAAAGAAGAGGACTAGAATTATTTCTTTCAACTCTCCTGCCTCCCTGCCTCTCTCCCTGTCTCTATCTCTCTGTCTCTGTCACTCTATCTCTGTCTCTCTCTGTCTCTCTCTCTGAGTGTGAGTTTGTGTGTGTGTGTGTGTGTGTGTGTGTGTGTGTGTGTGAATTCAGGTGTCCACAGAGGCCATAAAAGAAGCTTAATTTCCTGAACCTGGAATTACATCTTAGTTGCTGGGAACTGAACTGGGATGCTCTATGAGAGCAGCAAGGAGGTTAAGTTGGACTACGTAGTGCACATATACATTTAAAAAAACCACAGTTACTTAGTTTCTTTCCTGTTGCTCTGACATGGCACAATAGCCAAGGCAACTTAGAGAAGAAGGGTTGGGGGGTGGCTACATTTTCAGTCATGTTGGGGAGCATGACAGCAGGAAGGTGTGATGTAGGAGGACTATCTAGGAGCTCACATCTTGAAACAGGATCAGAAGACATGAGAGTAATAACTGGGAACGGTGAGATCTTCTAAAACCTGAGGCTTTCCTCCAGTGACCTACCTCCTCCAACAAGGCTTCATGTGACAGTCCTTCCCAAACAGTTTCATACACAGCAAAGTTGAAGAAAATTGTGATGAAGAATAATTAAAAATCCTTTTATAATGCAATCCTGGGAGCTGTGGGGCAGAACAGGCTCCCTGTGGTGAACTTCCTGACAGTCTTGAAGGACAAACAGGTATTAGTGTAGTAGAGGGTTTTTCCAGAGACTTGTCAGGATGAATGAAGCTTAAACTACCTCACATAACTGGGAAATAGTGTAGTGTATGGAACCAATGTCAGTTAGGTCTTTAGTAGCATCTTCTACAGGGCAGAGCAACTTCCTGGGTGAGGAGGTAAACTAAACAATGAAATAGCCCTGGGTTCTCATCCTGGTACTGTTCTTTTTCTTTCCAACACAGTCCCCATCAAGACACAACATTTGAGCCTCACAATACAATATTCGAGTTGCAGTTAGAATCACTGTGGAGCCTGAGGCTAACTTGGGTACCCACAGGACAGACTACATAGATGATTACAGGAAACACAGAGGCCCAGCCCATGCATGAATGCGCTAATCCATGGCCTGGGGTCTTGGATATAATAAAGGAAAAAGAAAGTGGGTAGAGAGCTTGCAAACACTTCTCTCTTCCTCTAGGTCTGCTGAATTCAAGTTAGCACAGCATTCAAGCTTCAGTACAGTTATTTCTGTCTATGCTTAATGAGGTTTTTACAGCAATGATTCAAAATTTACATCCTGTGTGAAAAAAGCATAGTTTGGTAAAAGAAAAAAAAATACAGGATTGAGACTGAGTTTCAAACTGTGGACGAGACAGATCAGACTATAATTGTTAAATTTAGTTAAGTAAATTTTCATTTAAGGAAACTAGAGATACTGCACCAGGACAATATGATAGGCATAGGTGCTGTGTGGCAAAATGCCACCCATTTACGCTCCACGGTTCAATGATATTTAATTTTAAAAGAGAATACCAAACAAAGGGAAGCTCTAGGAAACTGTGCTGGAGCAGGGGTGTCTAAGGAATTGTTTCTCCAGTTAACCATATAGGCTCTGTGAGAACTCACCGTCTCTGAAGTCTAGCAGACACCCTGAGTTAGCAGCAACAGTTGCCTTTATCAACTTTGTTACAGTTTATAAATGAGAAAATGTTAGAGTGAGGGTTCACAGAGGGTTGCACTGATGTTCCAGAAAGCAGCTGAGACCATGCAGCATGTAGCAAGGGTGGATTCCCAAATAAAGCTCCTGTGTGGGCTGGGTTCAAAACTGTGCAAAGGAAGACTGTGTATACAGGAAATGTGTGTACAGGAAATCAAGGATACCTGAAACTTGGAATGCTCTTCTAAAAAAAGCTGTGTCTGCTGAGGGGCTAACCCCAGAGAGAGGCACCAAGTGCCACCGGCAACCCAACTGGTGGAGGATCGGGAAGTCCCGTGAGGCACTGAAGAGCTTTCCCATCGGGTTTGGTCTTACTGTGGTTCTCTTTTGTGACTGCTGGTTACTTTCTAACCAGCCTGGTTCTGCTGCGGACTTCTTTATCCTCCTCCCACCTATCTTCCTGCCTCATTGGCCAGAAGGTGTTTTCTTCATCAATTAATACTAGAAACATAAGCACAGAAGGGCATACCCCATCATGCTTTTCCATGTCCTGTCTTCCTCATTTTAGAACCAGAATATTTGTATCATTACTTGTTGAAAGTGGATGATTTGACTTTTGGTTTTATAGGGCCCCTCAACTAACAGACCACCTTGAATCTCAGATGAGTCCATAAAGGAAAAGAATAACATCATAGGGATTAAGGTAAGGACTTTTCGATGCAAAATTGACAAGGGGTAACACTAAAAGTTAATCTGCTGGTGTTGGCTTGCTTTTCAGTAGTAGAACCAATTCTCAAATGTGTTAGTGATTTGGAAAGTGACTGTGTTCCACTATAATTAATATGTGGAGACACAGGGCACACAGTCCACAGGAAGAAAGTCTGTCTATTTTGGATTTGTAGCCTCTAGACAAGGGTGGTATTAACTAAATTAGAAGTCAGTAAATCTGTGTGTTCACCATGAACCTCAAAGGATCCTTAAGTAATGAGATGAGTTTTTCATTTGTGATGGAGAAAGTCCTTTTCCCTTACAGAGGCAAGCAAAATGAAACAAAGACCTATTGGGAAACAACCTCAGGGTCAAACCAAAGTTACCGTGCACCATCTTCCAGAGTCATTCATTTCCAGTGGGGATTAGTTGTTACTTGCTAGAAAGCATCACTGCAAGTAGAAAAGGTTAAGTAAGGTCAAGTAGACAAGGTTAAATAAGGCAAATTAGGTTCTTGGTAGCAAATTTTGATCCTTAGATTCTTCATTAGTTTTCTCTTTAATCAGTATTTCCAACATGCTTTTTCAATATCTCCTCAGCTTTTTGGCAAACACTCAGGTGTTCTGGTATTCTTAATGTGTATAGAGACCAGGTCCTTGGCATTGGACATCAGCAGACTCCTTTAAATCTTACCTATGTAATGTGGCAATGACGACTCTTGGCAGATACTGCAATCTCTACTGTCACTTTTTATTTTTTATTCACTAATCATAGGCAAAAATTACAGGAGAATATTTCATTTGTCAGAGTATCATGATTTTGTCTTTAAGGAAATTCTCTTTAATAAAAGAACGATGCTGCCAAAACGTATGGGAAACTGTCATGCAATAAAGCCTGTGACATGGACACTTTGGCCACTTTAACTCACAGAAGATCTTTGCTGTAATAATGAATCGGACAGGAAGATAAATGACTACAGTTAACTTGTCATTAGTTTTAGTCTTGCTTTTGCAATATCTATCAACTCTACTGAAATGTCATCTTTAATTTAAAAATTGAAAATAATCCTTAAAATGAAATGGTCCATATAAGAACTAATAGCTCATGGAGTTCAATTAAATATGTAATGGATAATATATATACATATGGCCTTGCTGTACCAAATAGAGTGGTATATTTGATTTGATATTTTTAGACTCTTTTGAGCAAAAATAGCTTCTATTTTTGCCTTCTTACTTCAGCAATGCTATAGGTCATGAACTGTTTATTCACATGGACACTTTGGCCACTTTAACTCACAGAAGATCTTTGCTGTAATAATGAATCGGACATGAAGATAAATGACTACAGTTAACTTTTCATTAGTTTTTACCTGTTGTTATTTATTTAGTCATGAATGATTTATCTGTTTCAGTCTCTGGTGTTGCATGTAGTTTCCTTCCAAGTATCAAAGGTAGGTAAAAGAGGTTAAGTTCAAATCTGTTAAGTTCAATATCTAGAGCAAGATGTTTTCTAGAATGATCTGTGGCTGACAAGTCTAGGAAACTTTGCACAGGTCTGTTGGGGAATGATCTGTGTTACTGAAAGAGAACCTTTATAAAACACAGAAACCAAACTGTATGTCCTAAAATAAAGAAAACCCTCATATGATTATATCTAGAAAAGACTTTAAAGAACTGTATTGAATTCTCTGTTTCTCTCTCTCTACACACACACACACACACACACACACACACACACACACTTTTGCAGAGGATTGGGACAGAGAGAATGGACAGGCATGGCCATTGAAGAACTTAAAGAGTTTATTGAAGATGTGAGGTTCCTCTTAGGTAGCCAGTATAGTGAACTGAGAATAAATATGAAAAAACATGCTTCAGGGTTGAGAATATCTGTGGTCCACACATACATCAGCAGAGTTGAAACATTTCTTCCTGTCCCTTTTTCTCCTTTCTTGTCACTCTCCTCCTGCTTCATCTCTCATCTCCCCAACCTGCCACTCTCTTAGTCACCCAATCCTGTCCTCTCCTCCCTTTGATATATGAGCAAGCAGCTCTCTTTTCTTAGCCTTGGACTTCTGGGCCCAAGAAATTCATCTTCCTGAATACTGGGACTACAGTACCTGTGTATCCCCCCACAAATGTGTGAATTTGCTTTCTTCAGACATCAAATCCTCTATTAAACTTCCAGTAGTTTTCATATCCCTCAAGGGTTCTATTTGCTTGCTTGTTTGTTTCCTTATAAACCCTGTGTTCCTCTACCTAAGTGTAGACTAGGAAGAAATGCCCCAGGCTTCTATGTCACACAAGAAGAGGTGACAGTCCTGTAAGATTGCTATGATGAAATCTTCTCCACACTGTTATGAACAGGGAAGCTGGTTCAGAGAAGTATCCTTTGATAACTAAATAAGAGGATTTTTGATAAAATTCAATACCTATGATAGCTTGTAGGAGAAAAATCATGAAAATTGGGGAAGGAGAAGCATAGAAGACATTAATGACATAGCTTCACTTTTGAAGAGCTTGCTAATGGACAAGTGAAGGGAAGATACCGATCTGGGAGACTCTAACATAGAAGGGTTGGGAAGAAACAGACTTAAGGTCAGACCCTTGTCTTTTTGTTCCCCTCTATTTATGAGACACTAAGTAAGCTGCTGAGTTAGGGTGTTGATGACCACTGGGGTGGCATCAATTCTGTACCATTTCATCACAAAGAGATCCAAAATGTACATATTTGAAATGTTGATAATAAGTGAGCTTTCTAACTGGATTTGAATACTAATAGATTTTGGTGTCAACTTCTTTAACAATGAGGATACCCTCTCTAGCAAAAGTAATGACTGACTGTGAAATCCACTAACATCACTTCCTACTTGCTTTTATCTCCTATTTAAAATAATTCCAAAATAACAATGATCATTACATAATTGATACAGTTCTATAAATGTATTTTTCATCTTACATTGTAGTAGATTTTGCTCCATGAGACTGTCAAGTGCTCTCAGTGATTGTGTGTCAAAAGAAAATGAGGAATGAGAAAACAAGCAGAAGGTAAAGGAGCATTTGAAGCTCCTCAACTCCTGAACTCTGTATACTGAGGACTTGGTGGTGCAGGATGCGTGACTTCAATACAGTATTCACTCCATAGATGGGGCAATTTAAGGGCATGGTAGAGATGGAGACTGAGAACAGAAAAGTACTAAAGAAAATGCAGGTGTTTGTGAAAGGGATTTCAGAGTGTTTTTGCAGGATATCACCTTAGCCCTGAAGAATGAGAATAAATCCATAACATAATAATGAATACACTTTGGGATGGAGAGATCAATTTTAGAATCACACTACGCTGAACAACGCAATCAAAAAGATACATGAGATGGGGTGCTGTATACCTTTATCCTGTTGTTGAGAAAGTAGTTCGAAATAGTCTCAATTATCCAGAACTTACCATCCAGACTTTACCTAATGCCAAACCTGATATAATAATATGTATTTTGCTCATATAATATTTGGAAAAAATAGTATTTGATACTGTTTGTGTGATTTTCCATTTATATCGCCATCTTTTACCTTTATTGAACACAGTCACTTGAATTATAAAACTAGCATGTGCTTTTTATAATTGTGCTTATGAAATAAATCAAGATACATATTCC